CAGAACCTGCTTCCTGTTTAGCAGAGAGTTTGTCTGGGTGTTGCAGAAAGCAAATATGAGTTTGTGTGTGTATGTATATCTTACGTTGGAGAGAATTGTTATTTATCTTGACCAGTGAGAGAGGATAAATTATTAGTATTTAGTATTAGCTAACTGCAGAACATGGAAATGTCACTTTGGGGACTATAACACCCAGAACTCCCTAACCAGACATGTGGCTGGTCTCTAATCAGAACTTATTTACTCCCCAGTAACTTTTCCAAGCTTTAACCGCCTTCTGTGTCCCTTCAAATTTGGAAATTTAGCTGTTAGTTCTGTTATAATAAGAAGGATAGTACAGTCAGTCCTTCACAGGTTCTTTATTTGTGGATTCAACCACGTCTGCCTTGAAAATAGGTGTGTATGTTTGTATCCCAAAAGCAGATCTTGGTTTTGCCATTTTACTATGCCATTGTATATAATGGGATTTGAAGGTCCACGTATTTTGAGATCCAGGGGAAATCTGGACCCAACAGATACTGAGGACCCATTGTAAAAGATAAAGAAGTAGCTGTTACAGGATTTCAGCAGCAAAATAGGAGAAACGGAGCTCTCTGTGCTGAATTTTTGCAATCCTTCTTACATTGCCTCCCAAAACCCACTTGGCTATTGCATCTCATTTTGGAGCTCCCTTGGGACTCATCCCTCTCAAAGGCATAAATGTAGTCTGGCCTTTTTCCTCTGTCTCTTGCCCCAGAAAACATGACTGAGTTAATACTTATGGGCTTTTGAGACTAAGGCGTTGTAAGGCATGTTCCCCTGTGGCGGTCCTTTTAGCAGCCGGATTGTTGTCCTTGCTAATCTTCAAGGTACGGCGGGCCTTTGGTGGCTGGATCTCCACAAAGAGGAGAGGAATGTGCAGTTTCCAGGCCTCCTGTGCGACTCATGGTCTACTTCCAACAAAGGTTCCTAGAAAGAGTGTTCATTTAATCCCTTGGTTCCCATTTCTTATGGTTCTAGGGGCTTCCTATACATCAACATACAGACAGTGTGAGGAGCTCCCAGTGGCGCAGCAGGTTAAACCACTGATCTGCTGAGCTTGCAGACCAAAAGGTTGGTAGTTCGAATTCGGGGAGCGGAGTGAGCTCCCACTGTTAGGCCCAGCTTCTGTCAACCTAGCAGTTTGAAAACATGCAAATTTGAGTAGATCAATAGTTACTGCTCCAGCAGGAATGTAATGGCGCTCCATGCAGTCATGCTGGCCACATGACCTTGGAGGCGTCTATGGACAACACCGGCTCTTTGGCTTAGAAATGGAGATGAGCACCAACCTCCAGAGTTGGACACAACTAGACTTAATGTCAGGGGAAAACTCTATCTTTACGGAGGTTCAAATCTGGGGAGGATGAGCTCCCTCTATCAGCTCCAGCTCCCCATATGGGGACATGAGAGAAGCCTCCCACAAGGATGGTAAAACATCAAAACATCCAGGCATCCCCTGGGCAGCATACGTGCAAACGGCCAATTCTCTCACACCAGAAACGACTTGCAGTTTCTCAACTTGGCAAACGACTTGCCTGTATATTGCAACACACACATTTTAAAAATTAAAATCAGAGTGGTGATAATGGAGAGGTGTAAAGAAAGCCCGCTTATAGAGAAGAGGGCCCAATTGTAATCTATACAAACTCTATGCTGTCTCTGTGCTTCCAACATCTATTAAACAGTTGAGGCCTTTATCATTGGCATTTAGTATTGGTCAGCTTCTATTTTTATGGACCAGAATGAATGCTTCCTCTTTTGGTGGCGTCTTTTCAACTAGGAAGTGAAAGGGGAGGTCTGTTCAAGGTTTTCTATACCTTGTTAATGTCAATAATGACTGAATTATGTTTCTCCTTCGAAACATACTGTGGTTTTTTTGTTTTTTATTTCCAAACAGAGGAAGTTTGCATAATTCTTCCCTTTAGCAGGCAACTACGCTTCCTCATTCTTAAGGGAAAAACAAGTCTTGTGGGGTCAACGTGGATTTCTTCACCAAACCGTGACTTAGTGGTTGGAAAGTCCCAGAGATAAAGCAGCAGCATAGCTCAGATATGTTAATGCTTCATAGAATTAGTCATGCTGAATTTGTTGCTGGGTTGCGGATCAAGATTGAAATTTGTGTGGTCTTACTGTCGCTCTATCCCTACCGGCAAGAATTGCAAATGAAACTGGAAATAAATGGGATTTTGCTTTAGTTTGCGTTTTTTCTGGTTCTGCGCTTTTCTGTTTACTGTTACCTTTTTAATAGTTTTATATACTTTGCCCTAAAGCAGTGGTTCTCAACCTGTGGGTCCCCAGATGTTTTGACCTTCAATTCCCAGAAATCCTAACAGCTGGTAAACTAGCTGGGATTTCTGGAAGTTGCAGTGGTTCTCAACTCACAGGTTGAGGACAACTGCCCTAAAGATTACCACTGGTGATGAGAAAGGAGTACAGAGAATTTTAAAGCTAATATAGAGCCTATGTTCCTTAGTTCAGTTCATATCCCTCCTATAGATTCTATTTCCCCAACTCAATCCCATATCCTTATTGATCCCTGGATGAAGACCTTGAAACAATGTTTAGGTCTCAAGAAACGCCTGCATAAAACCATTGCATCCCCATCACTTGTGGAACTCCTTGTGATGTCGAAGCTGAGCTTTATCTCCATTGCTAATCCTTTTCAACATGCAGGTGCCAAATATAACAGAGGCTTTAGGCCTCACCCTGAATGATTCCTGGTTTAATTATTAGGGGCTAAAAATAAACTTGAGAATGTGGATACCTGTGCTCTTTTTTCCTCATTTAGACTGGGCTTTTCTGACTTTCATGGCCAAATGGGGAAGATCCATGGAGCCAATTTGGGGTTTTGACCTGATGCAGTAGCTGAAGTTGCCGCAATGCCCACAACAAACCAAACCACCCACTGATATAAGAGATAAGAGATAAATATGCATATATATGTACATATCTATATAAATAAAAATGTAATGTACATTTGTGGGATTAACAGAACTCAAAAACCACTGCACGAATTGACACCAAATTTGGACACAATACACCTAACAACCCAATGTATGTCCTTCACTTCAAAAATTGATTTTGTCATTTAGGAGTTGTAGTTGCTGGGATTTATAGTTCACCTACAATCAAAGAGCATTCTGAACCACACCAACGATGGAATTGAACCAAACTTGGCACAGAGTTATCCCATTACCAACAGAAAATACTGGAAGGGTTTGGTGGGCAGTGTCCTTTGGTTTTGGAGTTGTAGTTCACCTACATCCAGAGATCACTGTGGACTCAAACAATTATGGATTTGGACCAAACTCTACATGAATACTCAATATGCCCAAATGTGAACACTGGTAGAGCTTGGGGAAAATAGACATTCGGGAGTTGTAGTTGCTAGGATTTATAGTTCACCTACAATCACAGAGCATTCTGAATCCCACCAACGATAGAATTGGGCCAAACCTCCCACACAGAACCCCCATGTGGGCCACAGCAACGCTTGGCAGGGGATGGCTAATAATAATAATAATAATAATAATAATAATAATGTATACCTGGGATTGTGTGAGTGTCAGCGGGGCACTGCCCCTGCCTTCATCTTTTCTCTCCCCTCATACCTTTTCCATTTTCCTTTTTCCTTTCCTTTCTTCCTGCTCTCTCCTCCATTTCTGTCTCCCTCCCTCCCTTTATTCTCCTTTCCCTTCTCCTTTCCCTCCATTTCCTTCCTTCGCCAGCTCTGAGAGGGCCTACATCTATGGCTCCTTCCTTCCCCTTAGACACAGGTCACTTTTCCTTCCCACTGACATCACAGAGGGCCACTTTACCTAGCAACAGCCAATCCAGTGACATCACAGAGGGCCACTTCAGATAGACACAGGCAAGCATATATACATGTAATATACATATATAGATGGGTCTCCAGACCTGGTTGGGTTTTTTTGGCGTCGAGGACAACAGCTGTAATATGTACACTGTTGCATCCAGCTGTGCTTGAAAAATACGCAGTTTCAGCCTCTTTCAGCGCCTGGCAGCATAGATCAAGCAGATTCCACCCCACACTGCTGCTGGCTCTATTCAGAGCATTTGATTGTTCTGTTTCAAGGGCATTCAAGCAAAGAGAAGGGCCTTTTGCAACCTGGAGTAATAACAAACCTGCCTTCCGTCTGCAGTGCTGTTTTCTGGTTTGTGCGGGTCAGAGCCATAGCCAACTTTACAATAAGCAGAACTGAATTCTCACTCTTATCTCTACTCCCCACCCCATTCTCAAATTTGCAAGGAGGTTTGTTCGTGTGTGTGTACATATTTCCCTCCCACCTACAGCTTGAAATAGTTTTCTCTGTTTTAACCTCGATTTCTCCTCCTAACAAGTGCCAAAGGAGATACAGATAAAACTCATTACCAGTGTTTCTCTAAACATAACCAAGATCCTGCCTTGTCCGTGTGTAAAGTTACATTTCTACAATTACAAGGTTTCATGCTGTACCACAGTCTGTTGAATACCAACACTGTGTGGCCAATAGTATATTTATTGCTTATACAACCCTGAGCGAGCAATGTCTATTGCAGTGTCCCAAAAAGTACAACCAAGTGTGGAAGAGAACTTAAATGTGACTAACACAAGTAGGATTTCAACCTGTGCTTTGAGTCAATACGGATGAGGTGTGGATTACAGGTGCTCAGATTTAGCAGCTGGTACAGAAAATAATCTCCAAATGATAACTTTTTCCTGCTTGCACCCTTGCTTTCTCTCCTTCTTCCCCCAGTTCCATGCCTGTATAAGAGCAAGAAGCATGGGTCTATTCCGCCTCCCCCCAAAACTCCAGCATGCTTGTTATACTTGGTTTCCTGTCAATGAATGTTTTAATAATCATAGATGGAGACTCTTCAACCCTCAGCTCCGCTTGGCAGAGTCAGAGGCAACCCAAGATGGCTGCCCTGATGTTCAGAAGTGGATCTGTAACTTTTGTCTGCTTGTGTTTCTGCAGGACCAAGGTGGGCTTCATGGAACATCGGGGTGTTCATCTGCATCCGCTGTGCCGGAATCCACAGGAATCTGGGCGTCCACATATCCCGAGTAAAATCTGTCAATTTGGACCAATGGACGCAAGAGCAAATACAGGTGAGTCACAGTGTGTCTGATTTCATGTCCTTTATATCAGGGCTTCTTAAGCTGTGGGTCCTGGCCTCAAATAGGGTACCTTAGCTCAACATTAGGGTCCCAAAATGTTTTCTGAACCTCACTTACACATTGACACGAATCGGGAAACAGAGTTCTAGTGCATTTCTGTTATATGCTTCTACTGGAAGTTCAGTGAGTGCTCTGTGATCTGCCTTTTCACATTTCTATGATGTTCAAAAACAACCCCCATAGAGCTGGAACTTGCAGCTCTTGAGAAAGCATATATTTCCCATTCTGGCAGTTATAAACAAAGTGATTTTTTTGCTGATGTGCTAGAAACCAAGGACATGACATTAACTGCTGAGTTACCCTTGGAAGCATCTTTACGCAACCACTTTGGCGGGATGCAAATGTCTTTCCTTGTTCTCTCTCACCTCAGCATGAAGTGGACCCTCCTGGATCTTTGTGTTTGACGCTCCAAAACACACACAATATACCCTCAGGGATGTAGTGCAGGGTCTACAATGTCAGAACAAGAGCATTGCCTCATGAGAATTCTGCCCTCTGGAATTATGTTTTCCTTCAGTCTCCAAATGCCTAGCTTTGTATAGAGCAGCGTTTCTCAACCTGGGGGTCTGGACCCCTGAGGAGGTCATGAGGGGGTGTCAGAGGGGGGCCGCCAAAGACCATCAGAAAACACAGTATTTTCTGTTGATCATGGGAGTTCTGTGTAGAAAGTTTGGCCCAATTGTCTTGTTGGTTGGATTCAGAATGCTCTTTAATTGTAGGTGAACTATAAATCCCAGCAACTACAACTCCCAATTGTTAAGGTGTATTTCCCCCAATCTCCACCAGTGTTCACATTTGGGCATATTGAGCATTTGTGCCAAGTCAGGTCCATATCCATCATTGTTTGAGTCCACATTGCTCTCTGGATGTAGGTGAACTACAACTCCAAAACTCAAAGTCAATGCCCACCAAACCCTTCCGGTATTTTCTGTTGGTCATGGGAGTTTTCTCTGCCAAGTTTGGTTCAGTTCCAGTTGTTGGTGGAGTTCAGAATGTTGACTATAAATCCCAGCAAGTACAACTCCCAAAAGACAAAATCAATATCCCACCAGTATTCTAATGTGGACATATTGGGTATTTGTGCCAATTTGATTAAGTGAATGAAAATACATCCTTCATATCAGATATTTACATTGTGATTCATAACAGTAGTAAAATTACAGTTATTAAGTAGCAACGAAAATAATTTTATGATTGGGGGTCACCACAACATGAGGAACTGTATTAAGGGGCTGTGACATTAGATATAGAGTATGAGACATTGAAAACCGTTATCCTCTAGGACACATCAATTTGTTACATCGGCATTATTTTGGTTCCTTTGCGCCTTTTCCTTGGATGTAGAAACTCTATTTCTGAATGTTCAGCTCAAGTGTTCATATTGGTTCTTTTTAATATGCAACCTTTCTCCTGATAATGGGGCTCCAGGAAGTTAACAACAGATTTAAGGCAATACAAATTTTTAAAAGAATGCAAAAGCCAGAATAAAAATATATACAGGTTTTTTTTTTAAAAAAAAAAACAACAGTTGAAGAGTGTCTTTCTTCCCTTCTAGTGCATGCAGGAGATGGGGAACGGCAAAGCCAACCGCCTCTATGAAGCCTACCTTCCAGAGAACTTCAGGCGACCTCAGACAGACCAGCATCCTTCTCCTGCCTCCCTTCTCCCAAAGAAGAGGGAGGCCTTTCTTGTTGAGATGGGGGCAGTGGCTGGGGATTGGGACAGGAAGACCACGATCCTGGGGTGGGAACCAGCAGCAAATCTGTGTGAGACATCTCTGTCCCCCAAAAGAGCATTGACAGATAAACATAAGTTGCTAAAGTCTCACTTTGAGCATCTTCTGAACATTACACAGTATAGCGAGTGACCTGTGACCTATTGAATTACCTCCTAGAGCAGTTTACTGTGTTTATGACCAGAAAAACAGGTATTCCAAGGCATTTGGATGGGTCAGTGAGAAAAGAGAACATTTGCAGCCACAGGGACTACACCCCCCCTCCCCGTCCCCCGTCTCCCCCCCCCCCCAACTAATGCTACATGCACGTTCTCAAGACTATCCCAGCAGAGCATTTTGAATTTGGGTTTACCATATGTCTTCCACTGAGAATCTTGTTGAGTGAGTGGGCTTATTAACAAAAGACCCTCCCCATGAATGTATAGCAGAGCAACTTATTAGCATCAGCATGACCCAGCACCAGTAGCCCAAAGTGATAAAAAGAACAAAAACACACAGACTAATGTTATCTCTTCCATAGGAGGCTATTCTTTGTAGTAAAATAATATAGTTGCACTATTTATAATAACAGGGTTTCCACAACACAAATGAAGTCCTTTATACTTCCTTCTTTGCTTCCACGCTGGGCTTCTTTATAGAATCATAGAGTTGGAAGAGACCTTATGGGCCATCCAGTCCAACCTCCTGCCAAGAAGCAGGAAAATTGCATTCAAAGCACCCCCGACAGATGGCCATCCAGCCTCTGTTTTAAAACTTCCAAAGAAGGAGCCTCCACCACACTCCAGGGCAGAGAGTTGCACTGCTGAACGGCTCTCACAGTCAGGAAGTTCTTCCTAATGTTTAGATGGAATCTCCTTTCTTTCTCATGCAGATAAACAGCTTCGCTCTCACATAGCCTCCTCTCACACTGAAATTATACAGGAGCTTCACATAGTAGCTTTACACATGAGGCCTTTAACCTGGGGCTTCTTTCACCAAAGCTTCTCACACACAGAGGTTTACCTCACTCTCCTCAGGATGACACTAGCTTTGGCTCTAACAGGATTTGGCCTACTAACTCTTTCAGTGCTTGACTCACATTTTTGTAATTAAAAATATCTAGTTAATTTTTAATATTTCTGACAAAACTTTGCAGGGCATGGTACATCTTACACCTTCCTTTTGGAATCAAAATTGAATGGGATCCTGCTCCCCAGAAAGCTGTAAATAGCAAGTTGTAAATCTGAGAAGTTGAGGGTGATTGGCCTCCAGGATGGGAATCATGTGGAACTTCAGATGTTGCCAAATATCTAGTCAACATAGTTATTGAACAATGCTAGGAAGTTGTGCAACAACAACATTTGACATTCTTTCCTATAGACTAAAATTTAGTATAACTTGAGAATGTTGCACACAATCCATCTGCCTATAGTTTGTTCCTCCTTAACCGGCAGCTTTCCAGAGCAGTAGAAGGCTTTATCAGAGACAAATATGAAAAGAAGAAGTACTTGGACAGAAGCGTCGACATCAGTGCGTTGCGGGTATGTATTTAATGCATTCGGCTGACCATTTGCTGCTTGATGACTATGTGGCCCCCAGCTAGCCTAGTCCTTCGTCTTCCAACTGGCAGTAACTATCTTGCATAGCTTTCCCCCATCATGATACCTTCCAAGGTCATGGCCACAACTCCCATTGGTCATGATATCAAGTTGAGGATGATGGAGCTTATATGTTGAAGGGACTAGATTAAGGAAATCTACCTTCAACCGACAGACAGCGCTACCAAGGATGCCTGATATTTTCATTGTGTTATTTGAATTCTTTTTAATATTGACTGTGACAATTGTCGACATATTTTAGCTACGCCATCTGTGTTTTCATTTGTAAGCAACCTTAAGTTCTGGTTTGGGGGGAAAGGTGGGATCAAGTGAGCGACAAGATAAAGAAGATGATGGTAGTGACCAGCTTTCATCATAAATATTAGCAAAACCACCACAACCAGCCTAGAATAGGGTCACTATAAGTGGTAGTTGACTTAAAGATACATTGACAACATTGTCATGTATAGCAGTTGCTATGTTCTCAGTCACCTGGCCAGATAGAGCATCCAAAAAATATGCTGTTATTTTCCAATGATGTGTTAAAATGGCCTGAGAAATGGGAATCTGTTGCTGCTGGGAGTTGCCTTATAATTACAAGCTAGCCAGGTATAGACCCAAGAATTCATGATAATGGACATTTCCCACTGGTTTGCAGAGGAAAATGTTATGTTGAACTAGTTCCCCTGCCTTCTCACCACTTAGTATTATTGTCTGCACAGAGAGAAAAGGATGATAAATGGAAGAAGGAGGGACCTCCTGAAAAAAAGCTGGAGCCGATTATCTTCGAGAAAGTGAAAATGGTAAGATGAAAGTCATTTCTAAATAGTAATAGGCTTAATTTTATGTTAATGTTGATACTCTTTACGTTGTATATTGTATTGCAAAACTGTTCACTGTTTTGAGTCTCCATTAGAAAAAAGTGATTAAATAATAATAATAATAATAATAATAATAATAATAATAATAATAATAATAATATAATCCTTCCTATAGCTTATGGTATTTTTATAACTTTGGAAATGCATTTTTTTTGTGTCAGGAGTGACTTGAGACTCAAGTCACTTCTGGGGTCAGAGAATTGGCCATCTGCAAGGACATTGCTCAGGGGACACCCAGATGTTTTTGATGTTTTATCCTTGTGGGAGGCTTCTCTCATGTCCCCGCATGGGGAGCTGGAGCTGACAGAGGGAGCTCATCTGCACCTTAAATGCAGGGGAAGAGTGGAGTGATAGTTTTACCTGGGATGCAAGGCTTGAGAGCCTTGATGTCTTTCTGTGTACTGGAGTATGTTGTGATCCACAATCCACATCCAGTCTTGTCTTTGTAGACAGATTGACATAGAACATTCTTCTGAAAGCTACGAAGCTGATAACACAGCTCTTTCTGTAAATACACTAAGACCCCCACAGTGGATACCTTCCAGGCTGGACCACAGCTACCTAAAACCACAGATATGAATATTTGCCAATTAATTACCCAACTTCTCATCCCAACTTGACATAGAGATGCACTGCACAACCTAGAGGTGCATTCTGTTTAGGAAGTTGTCAGGTTCTACAGCACAACTATGGTAAATTCTGGAGGAGTCGCACCGTCAAATCATCCTGGGAGATAAGCAATTTCCTAGAGAGACAACTCTTCCCAGGAAGGCAAAAACCATGCATTATTGCATGCCTGGGTGTGGGCAACCATGGTAGACAGAGCCCAATTTTTGTCCCTGTGGGCTGAAAATCAGCCAAAAACTCAGTCTGGAAGTGACCAGAGGTTACTTTTGCTTTATATTTCCAAGATTTTATGGGCGTTTTAGGATTGGGAGGGGGGGGGGGGAGGTGGTGCAGGTAGATCACCACCCTAAGACTGGCCTGGGGTGGGTTGCATTCACTTTGGACAAACCTGGAAGCTGTGTTTTAAAAGATCGCCTCAAGAGTCACTTTTTCAGTCTTTGCCCTAAAACAAGTGTAGCCTTTCCATTTTTGTGGCTTTCACTCCTTTCAGCCTCACAAGAAGGACGACTCTCAAACCAGGAAAAGTCCTTCCAGATCTTCCGAGCCCGTCATGGACCTACTCGGACTTGGTAAGCGTATAGTCTGCGCCGCGCATATATTTTGATGCCTTACTCTATACAGGATTGCAATTTCACATCAACCTTTTTGTCTCAAGAGGTTTACTCTTGATTTCTTGAGGAGCAATACCAGAACGCTCTCCTGCTTCCCCTTTCAGCAGGAAGCAGCTGTTCAGAAATTGCATTTTATCACATGAGCAGAGGCATATATCTTTGTGTGTGCACATACTGTGGTAAAAGAAAATGAGGAGGAGAAACCGGCCAACTTTTTCAAAGAGTGGGTCAACTTATTCAAGTGAGGAAAAATAATTAACAGGCCCCGTTTGTGTGCAACGGACTCTGTTGCTGGGAGGAGCAATGTATGGGCCACCAGATCAGTGGCAGGACTTGGACTTTGCATGAAAAAGGTCCCAGCTCACATTCTCCAAGTAGATGATGCCTGCTGTCTGAAAACCCAGAGACAAATTGTTGTCTGATAAACACAGCAGCACCCATTCTAGTTTTTCTCCTATTTCAGGTATGCACAAACCAGGAAGCAATAATTTCAAACCCTGCAAGTATAGCTGGTCCCATAATCCCTCACCCATTACTGTGGGTGACATTTTGAGCAATGATGGCTGCTGGCTCCCAAACCAAGAATTTATTTATTTATTTATTTGGACCAGTGGTTCTCAACCTTCCTAATGTCGCGACCCCTTAATACAGTTCCTCATGTTGTGTCGACCCCCAACCATAAAATTATTTCCATTGCTACTTCATAACTGTAATTTTGCTACTGTTATGTATCGTCATATGAATGGCTGATATGCAGGATGTATTTTCATTCACTGGACCAAATTTGGCACAAATACCCGATATGCCCAAATTTGAATACTGGTGGGGTTGGGGGGGGGGGGATTGATTTTGTCATTTGGGAGTTGTAGTTGCTGGGTTTTATAGTTCACCCTAAATCAAAAAGCATTCTGAACTCCACCAATGATGGAATAGGACCAAACATGGCACACAGAACTCCCATTACCAAGAGAAAATACTGGAAGGCTTTGGTAGGCACTGACCTTGAGTTTTGGAGTTGTAGTCCACCTACATCCAGAGAGCACTGTGGACGCAAACAATGATGTATCTGGATCAAACTTGGCACAAATAATCAATATGCCCAATTGTGAACACTAGTAGAGTTTGGGGGAAATAAACCTTGACATTTTGGAGTTGTAGTTGCTGGGATGTATAGTTCACCTACAATCAAATTATCTTCTGAACCTTACCAACGATAGAATTGGGCCAGATTTCCCACACAGAACCCCCATGACCAACAGAAAATACTGTGCTTTCTGATGGTCTTTGGCAACCCCCCGACCCCAAGGTTGAGAACCACTGATTTAGACCATTTATGCCCCATCCTTCTCAACCTCCAAGGAGGGACTCAGGGCGGCTTCCAAACAGGCAACAATTTAATGCCAAACATAATATAAAACATAGTAAAATGCAACCATATGCATTAAAATTGTTATAAAATATACATCAAAACAGTTCACCAGGTCAAAAATTGTCATCCAGATCAGTCCAGGTGTGGTCAAATAAAATCTTGTCTTCAACAGTAAAACAGTGTACTCTATGAACGCCCAATCCCATAGCCAGGATTTAAGTTTCTTCCAGGTCAGGAGGGAGATCTAACCTCATTAGGGAGGAAGTCACCACGAAGAAGGCCCTATCTCTCATCCCCACCAAACATGACTGATGGCGGTGGGACCAAGAGCAGGGCCTCCCCGGATGATCTTAAAGTCCTTGATGGTTTGTAGTGGGAGATACGTTCGGACAGGTAAACTGGGCCGGAACAGTTTAGGGCTTTATAGGTTAAAACTAGTAAATCTGCACCAGATTTTATCCCAGACTTTTAAGGCACTGTCTAAGGTACTGAACCAGTTTTGGGCTGAGCTTCAGCACTGTGAATAACTCTGTGCATTGTATCCACTGTGTGAAAGCATTCTGACATCTTCCTTGGCCAAACACAATCTAAGCATGGAATATTTACTGAGATCCTGAGACATTTGGCGAGGCATCGAATTGCTGTTGCTCAGCGCCTCCTCTCCTTGCCCTTTGTCTTCATAACATCTCCTTTAAGGAAATATGTGGCATGCTATCACGGTGCTCTGTTCCCTTGCCTCCCATAATTGGCAGGTTTGGTGGGTGGGAGGCTGCGAAATGAAGTCAGGATGAAGTCATGCTTCTTAAACCCAATAATGAGGATTTTGGAGGCGGAGTGATTCACAAAACGACCGCGGTTCCCTCCCCCCTGATGAAAATCTGCTCTCCTTTCCAGCAAGAATAGTCTGGAAAGATATGATGATGATGGTGATGATAATGATGATTCTCCTATTCAGAATAGAATTCCTGAGTATTTCCGAGTAGAAGGTGGAACGGTTTGAGTTTCTGTTGCATTCCTGGGAGGGAAGTAAAATGGCCCCTATCAAATTATATTTTCCGGCCCATTAATTGAGCCTCCGCTTGTTTGAAAACTGATAGATGAGATGTAAAGATACTCTTTAATCTCCTAAGCTTTGGTCCTCCAACTGTCTTGCACTTCAACTCCCGGAGGCCCCAACTCCCTTGGGCAATTCTGGGAGCTGAAGTCCCAAACACTTGAAAGAGTTTGGGAAACGTTGCTCTGAGGGATGATGGAAGCAGGCTTTGATCTCCACACTAGAGGTATTTTGCCCCCTGTGAAACATTCAGAGTCAAGTGCATGAAAGTACTGTATATACTTGACTATAAGCCTAGTTTTTCAGCCTGTTTTTTAGGCTGAAAAAAATCCCCTCGGCTTATACTCGAGTCAAAGTTATTTATTACTTTACTCTGCTATTAGTATTATTTTTATTACATTTATTATTTTACTCTATTATTATTATCACATTTAGATTATTTTACTCTATTATTACTTTTATTACATTGATTATTTTACTCTATAATTGTTACATGTACATTATTTTACTGCATTATTATATTTATTGTATTTATTATTTTACTCTGTTATTGTTATTATTACATTTATTACTTTATTATTATTATTACTATTATTAAATTTCCATTATTTACACTATTATTATTTTTATTACATGTTATTACATTTATTATTTTATTCTATCATTATAGGTAATAGATAAGCACATTTACATTGAAGGAGGTTAGAATAATGGTTGAATCAGAGTTGGGCAGTCTTATCTTAAATTACAGTTTTGTGTAAATACTCAAAAACATTTAACCTACTGACGATTACCAGTAGCAGCTACATTTCTCACCCTCGGCTTATAGTCGAGTCAATGCGTTTTTCCAGTTTTTTGTGGTAAAATTAGGTCCCTCGGCCAGAGGCGGCCCTAGGTAATTTTCAATGGTAAGCAAACAGTATTTTGCTCCCCCCCCCCCCAACCAATCATTGATATATATTTTCTGTTTGTCGTGGGAGTTCTGTGTGCCATATTTGGTTCAATTCCATCATTGGTGGAGTTCAGAATGCTCTTTGATTGTAGGTGAACTATACATCCCAGTAACTACACTTGCCGCATTTGCTCCCTTGCCTGGCCCGCTTTGGGTCTGGAGGCGTGCCTGAAGACCCCGGCGTGTGCACCAAAAGTCACCTCTTCTCCTGACTTTCTCCTCAGCCATTGGGACCGAGAGAGAGAGAGTGGAGATGCCCACCTTTCCTGAAGGTAGGCGCAAAAACAAAGGAGGGAGCGGAGGTGGGAGATACCTCCAGCCGGAGGGGCTCTCTCTCTCTCTCTCTCTTGGTCCCAATGGCTGAAGAGAAAGTCAGGAGAAGAGGCAACTTTTGGTGCACACGCTGGGGTCTTCAGACACGCCTCCGGACCTGAAGCGGGCCAGGCGCGGTGGCTCCACCCATTGGCCCACCTGTGGATTGGGGAGAGGAAAGGAGGCGGGTGGAGCGCCGGGGGATCGGGAAAGGGAGCCGGTCATGGGGAAGGGATCGAACGCGGAGAACGATTGAGCGCCGGCTCTGCTCGCGCACCCGGTGGCCAGGTGGAGCAGGAACGAGAGGGGCTAGGCGAGGCTCAAGGGCCCAGCCCCTTTGGGAAGAGGATCGCCTGGCAGCGAGGCAAGAAACCCGAGGCTTCCCCCGGACTGCTAGGGCTGTTGTGAGCTGAGGGGCGCTCCTCAAGTGGCATTTACAGAGGTGCCTCTGTGCCCCTGGCAAAAGAAAAGTGTTCTGCGACCGCTTACTTTGCGTAATGGACGAGCCGCCCCTGCCCTCGGCTTATATTTAGGTCGGCTTATACTCGAGTATATACAGTAACTGTTTTAGATTAGAGATCCCAGAATCTCCCAGTAGCCATGTTATCTGAGGAATTAAATAGTCAAAATGATGTTCCTTGGTGTGAGTCACTGCTTAATGAAAACAATAGGCTAAGACTGAGAATTGGTCAACGTTCCAGATGATGTTGCACTCAAGCCCCAGCAGCCTGAGACTGCATAGGAGTGCTGGGAGTTGCAGTCCAACCATATCTGGAGAAAGATACAAAAGGGTTGGAAAGGTGTTCCTACATATTGGCTGGCATGCTTCTCTTGCTTTATACATGTGTATATTCTCTTTTGAAAGTGAGTGGACTTTTTATGTGACACTAGAAACCTGCAAGAGCAGGATTAAGACATGTGGCTCCATTGTGTGTTGTGATATGCAGATATGTGTTGTGCAGTTGTTGTTCATTCGTTCAGTCGTCTCCGACTCTTTGTGACCTCATGGACCAGCCCACGCCAGAGCTCCCTGTCGGCCGTCACCACCCCCAGCTCCTTCAAGGTCAGTCCAGTCACTTCAAGGATGCCATCCATCCATCTTGCCTTGGTCGGCCCCTCTTCCTTTTGCCTTCCACTTTCCCAGCATAATTGTCTTCTCTAGGCTTTGCTGTCTCCTCATGATGTGGCCAAAGTACTTCAACTTTGTCTCTAGTATCCTTCCCTCCAGTGAGCAGTCGGGCTTTATTTCCTGGAGGATGGACTGGTTGGATCTTCTCGCAGTCCAAGGCACTCTCAGAACTTTCCTCCAACACCACGTCAAAAGCATCTATCTTCCTTCGCTCAGCCTTCCCTATGGTCCAGCTCTCACATCCGTAGGTAACTATGGGGAATACCATTGCTTTAACTATGCGGATCTTGTTGCCAGTGTGATGTCTCTACTCTTTATGATTTTATCGAGACTGGACATTGCTCTCCTCCCAAGAAGTAATGTCTTCTGATTTCCTGGCCACAGTCTGCATCTGCAGTAATCTTTGCGCCTAGAAATACAAAGTCCGTCACGGCCTCCACGGTTTCTACCTCTATTTTCCAGTTGTCAATCATTCTTGTTGCCATAATCTTGGTTTTTTTGACGTTTAGCTGCAACCCAGCTTTTGCGCTTTCTTCTTTCACCTTGATTAGAAGGCTCCTCAGCTCCTCCTCGCTTTCGGCCATCAGAGTGGTGTCATCTGCATATCTGAGGTTGTTAATGTTTTCCAGCAATTTTCACCCCAGCTTTGCATTCATCCAGCCCCGCACATCGCATGATGTGTTCTGCATACAAGTTAAAAAGGTTGGGTGAGAGTATGCAGCCTTGCCGTACGCCTTTCCCAATCTTGAACCAGTCTGTTGTTCCATGGTCAGTTCTGACTGTTGCTACTTGGTCCTTGTACAGATTCCTCAGGAGAGACAAGGTGGCTTGGGATGCCCATCCCACCAAGAACTTGCCACAATTTATTATGATCCACACAGTCAAAGGCTTTAGAATAGTCAATGAAGCAGAAGTAGATGTTTTTCTGAAACTCCCTGCCTTTCTCCATTATCCAGCGGATATTGGCAATTTGGTCTCTCGTTCCTCTACCTTTTCTAAACCCAGCTTGAACATTTGGCAACTCTCGCTCCATGTATTGCTGGAGTCTTCCTTGCAGGATCTTGAGCATTACCTTACTGGCATGAGAAATAAGGGCCACTGTACGGAAGTTTGAGCAGTCTTTCGCATTTCCCTTTTTTGGTATGGGGATATAAGTTGATTTTTTCCAGTCTGATGGCGATTCTTGTGTTTTCCATATTTGCTGGCAAATGGCATGCATCATGTGCAGTAGCCACTTTATATTGGGTTACACATTCATCAGATGCACAGTATCGGGGTAGCCTTCAGCTTGAAAGTTTCCTACATAGTCAGTTGCTCTGTTCTGACACAGTTGACATTGGGAGCCAATGAGGGTGCTTTAAATTCTGATCTTCTTTAAAGAACAGCCATGCAAAACTGGCAAGTCATGCTTGCAGTTCCCCTTATCGGGGCGGCTGTTGCTCATCTTGCCGCCTATTGAGCTTGTAGGAAGCAGCTGCAGATCTTGCTCTGTGAAATGCTGTCTCTTTGCAAGTATCTCCCCCCACCCTGCATTGCACCCATTCCTTCTGTCACGTTTGTGAACACGTCCTTTGCGCTCGTAGGTAAGTGGCCCACAAAGTGGCTCCCCAGAGAAGGTCCGCTCTAGAGCAAATCTGTCAGATCGTCCGGATGCTGCTTTTTACAGCTTCTGCAGCAGCAATGCAGAGGCCGCAGGGTCCGCTGCAGTGCTGGGATGCAGCTCAAGGAGGGGGCAGGCAAAGGAGTGTTGCTGCAGAGTGAAGGGCAAAACCAAGCTGGGATGAAATGACAGTATCATAGAGTTAGAGGAGCCCCCAAGGACCATCTCACTTCAGTTCCATTTTGCCAGGCAGGAAGGCACAACTAAGCCCTCCCAACAGATGCCCATCCAGCCTCTGATTCAAAACCTCCAGAGAAAGAGACTCCGCTGGACTCCTAGGCAGTATAGTCCTCTGTTAGAAAGTTTAGATCAGTTATAGGCGAACCCAGGCCCAGGGGATGCCCATAGATCAGGATGCGGCCCCTTGGGCTCTTTTCTCAGGTCCTCCTATCTCTCACTATTCTATCCATCCTTCTTTCTCTCTTTTCTTCCTTTCTCCCTCCCTGCCTTACCTCCCTCTTTCTCTCTCCCTTCTTCCTTGCTTTCCACTTCTTCATCCTTTCTTCCCTTTTTCCTCCCTCCCTCCTTCCCCCCCTCTCTCTTTCGGCTTCCTTCCTTCCCCTTTGTCTTTCCTCCCTTCCCTCCCTTCATTCTTCCACCCTTCCTTCCTTCCATCCTTCTCTTCTACCCTTCCTTCTCTTTTTCTTTGCTCCTGGGGGATATTTAGCTGGGAGAAGAGACAGTAGAGAGGGAACTTGAGAACCATGTTTCAAGATTTTAAAAGGCCTCCCATTGAGTAAAGGTAAAGGTTTCCCTTGACATTAAGTCTAGTCGTAGCCAACTCTGGGGGGTGATGCTCATCTCCATTTCTAAGCCGAAGAGCCGGCATTGTCTGTAGACACCTCCAAGGTCATGTGCTCATCATGACTGCATGGAATATAGTTACCATCTTATTCTCATTGCCTGGATTTAACTTCTTCTTCCTTTTTCCCCATACTTTTACTGTTCCTTTAAAGGGCTCCTTAAGTTCTATTTCCTCTCTCCTCTTCCATTCCCTAAATATTATTTCTTTTCCTTTAATATTATTTATTATCTTCTCCATATTTACCCATTTCTTTTCCGTATACTGTATTTCCAGCAATCTTTGGATTTGAAATGCATCGAGATAGACGTTTAAACTTGGGATCCCCCAGCCTCCCGCTTCCTCTTTCGCATTTAATCATTTGTCCCTTATTCTGGGTCTTTTCCCTCCCTGTTGGCTCTCTCTCTGCCTTTGTCTCCCTTCCAGTGAGGCCGCATTTAGCCTTTCTACAGGCAAAATGTAACTGCATGGATATTTTGACTTTTTATCCTTTTACCTTCCTTATAATATGAGTTTTAGCAAGTTAGTTTGCTCCAAGACCCCTTCTATCTAAAACTGATTTCTTTTCTTGAATAAATAATTTGAACCTAAAGTTCAGTTTCTGAAAGCCTGTTCCATCCTGTTGAATGGAAGCTTATCCTGGCTCACAACACGTAAGTTTCTGCAGATTATGAAGTTTACTTCTAGTAGGTAAAGGTAAAGGTTTTCCCCTGACATGAAGTCCAGTTGTGTCCGACTCTGGGGTGTGGTGTTCATCTCCATTTCTAAGCCAAATAGCCGGCATTGTCCATAGACACCTCCAAGCTCATGTGCCCAGCATGACTGCATGGAGCGCCATTACCTTTCTGCAGATGTGGTACCTATTGATCTACTCACATTTGCATGTTTTTGAACTGCTGGATTGGCAGAAGCTGGGGCTAACAGTGGGAGCTCACCCTGCTCCCCAGATTCAAACCGTCAACCTTTTGGTCAACAAGTTCAGAAGCTCAGCGGTTTAAGCCACTGTGCCACCTGCATCCCATTGAGCTGGAAGGGGGAAAACTGAGCGAGTAATGGTTTCAAATAGCACGGATTCGACTGAAAAGATTAGGAAAAACTTCCTGAGAGAAAGAGCCATTTGAGAGTGGTATAAGCTGCCTGGGAGTTTGATGGAGTCTCTTTCTCTGGAGGCTTTTTTGCAGAGGCTGTCTATCGGGAGTGCTTTGATTGTGCCTTCCTGCATTTTATTTGTATTATTTATTTCATATATTTATATCCTGCCCTTCTCCCCACAAGGGGGACTCAGCGCGGCCTCACATGAGCATCAGAGGATGCTAACAGAATAAATACCATAAAAATTACAATTCACAATAAAATCATTTTAAAACATTGTACAACATCATCAGTAAAATTTAACAATAAATTAATAGATGCATGACAGGGGGTTGGATTGGATGGCCCTTGGGGGTCTCTTCCAGCTCTAGGATTCTATAACAGGAGTAGGCAATACGGGGTGTAATGGATACACATTTTCTCTCCTGTCCACATCCTCATCCTGACCAACACCAACCAATCCAAACATTTCCTGTCTTCACTTTCTGAAAGAGAAGAGGAAGGGGAGAAAAGGGCAGGGAGGGGACTTGGGGAGAACCTGCCCAACCTGGTCCGGCCCACCATGTGGTCCCCAAGTTAGAAAGTTTGCCTGGTTTCAATGATACCTCTTTTCCTCCAGTTTGGATCCACTACTCCATTGTGTCCTAGTCTCTTGAGCAGCAGAAACCAATCCTAGAAAACAAACTGGTGTATGGTTCAGGCCACAGGGATAGTGGACCAGTGCCCAATTTAAGGCAAAACAGTGAAATAAGGGGGGAGTTGCTTATCTTTTCAGCATTTGCTTATTAGTTGAAGTTTCAGGTTGCCTTTTTCAGGGGGAAAAGAGTGGCTGGGAAGTGGAGGTCGGACAGGAATAAAGAACACTAAGTATATGCCTCCTTTTCTCCCAGGAAAGTGACCCACAAAGGAAGAATCAATGGAAGCTATTTCAAACACAATTAAAATAGTCCAACATGGCTGTCTATGATTTGTGGCCTCCTTTTGCTGCTTCTCCCCTCACTTTGTCTCTCTTTTGTTCTCAGATGCCCCTGTTTTGACTACTCTCCCCAATGGCAGATCTAGCAGCTGTTTAGAGAAGGACTTGGACTTGTTCGGCTCCATGCCCTCCGAAAGGAAGGTGAGGAAAGAGTGTGACATGCTGGGCTGTTCATGTACACACATGCAAAACACTGATAGTGTATTGAAGGACAGTTGAGTTTGGTTTTTAGTATGTCTTTCTATGTGTGTAGTTTGTTTCTGAGTCTCCCAAATCTCTCACCAATTTGCAAGCATGAAAGAGGAGCGACTAAAACAGTCAAACCGTTCTCCAGCCTTGATTTTCTTTCCACCCCAAAGTTCTCATTCTTCTTGACTTTAACCTACGTCCAGCTTCTCCTCGGTGTGAGGACAGAAGAGACGTCTGCTCTTCAAATACCAAACCAGACATTTGCCCCCATTAAGCACATCAAAATACCAGTTGTGGGTTGTTGTAGGTTTTTCGGGCTATATGGCCATGTGTTAGAAGCATTCTCTCCTGACATTTCACCTGCATCTATGGCAAGCATCCTCAGAGGTTGTGAATTTTTGTGTGTGTTAGGATGTGGGTTTTTCTTCTTCTGAGATTTGCCTATATGCATAATTCCCAAGATCACTACTTCCCTTTCCAAAGAACTGGTATGTGTCAGGGCCAGCTAACACCTTCAAACAAAGGATCCCCCCAGGCAGGAAGCAGCGATGCTTTGAAGCTGCAAGGCCATTCAATGCTAACACCTCCAAACAAAGGATCCCCCCAGACAGGAAGCAGCCAGGTTTTGAAGCTGCAAGGCATTCAATGCTAACACCTCCAAACAAAGGATCCCCCAGACAGGAAGCAGCCAGGCTTTGAAGCTGCAAGGCCATTCAATGCTAACACCTCCAAACAAAGGATCCCCCAGACAGGAAGTAGCCAGGCTTTGAAGCTGCAAGGCCATTCAGTGCTAATCAATGCTAATCAAGCTGGCCAATTGCCACATTCACACCTGCCTCAAGCAGACAAGAGTTCTTTCTCCCACCCTGGACATTCCACAGATAGAGAAACCCCACTTGACTAGTTTCCAACAGACCTCACAACCTCTGAGGATGCTTGCCATAGATATAGGTGAAACGTCAGGAGAAAATGCTTCTAAAGCATGTCCTATAGCCCAAAAACCTACAACAACCCAGTGATTCCAACCATGAAAGCCTTCGACAATACATCAAGCATTTATTGATAATCAGCAGGTTGCTGTGAGTTTTATGGGCTGTATGGCCATGTTCCAGAAGAATTCTCTCCTGACATTTTGCCCACATTTATGGCAGGCATCCTCAGAGGTTGTGAGGTCTATTGGAAACTAGGCAAGTGGGGTTTATATATCTGTGGAATGTCCAGGGTAGGAGAAAGAACTTTTGTCTGAGGTATGTGTGAATGTTGCAATTGGCCACTTTGATTTGCATTTAATGGCTGTTTGGGGTAATCCTTTGTTGGGAGGTGTTAGCTGGCCCTGATATATACCAGTTCTTTGGAAAGGGATGATCTTGGGAATAATGCATATAGGCAAATCTCAGAAGGAAAAAAACCCACATCCAAACACAAAATGTGGGTTGAACCCACAAGAACACAAACATACACTCCTGCCCCACAAGCCCAAAGTCTTGACAGCTTCCTGGAGTGAACTTTCTAAAATGCGCCCAATCCAAAAGAAAACATATACAGTAACACAATGTTGGTCTTTATGTCACAGATATGTAGTTTCTAGATTGAAACTGAATCCAGACAAGACAGAAATCCTCCTGGTCAGCTGCAAGGCCGAACAGGGTATAGAGTTGCAGCCTCTGTTGGATGGGGTTACACTCCCCCTGAAGACACAGGTTTGCAGCTTGGGAGTGATCCTGGACTCATTGCTGAGCCTGAAACCCCAGGTCTTGTCAGTGGCCAGCTGAGTTTTTGCTTAATTAAAACTTGTGTGCCAGCTGCGCCCATACCTTGGGAAGTCAGATTTGGCCACGGTGGTACATGCTCTTGTTAAATCCTGAATAGACTACTGCAATGTGCTCTATGTGGGGCTGCCTTTGAAGACTGTTTGGAAACCTCAATTGGTCCAAAGGGAAGCAGCCAGGTTGCTCATTGGAATGGCGTACACAACTCCCCTGTTGCGTCAGCTCCACTGGCTGCCACTCTGCTACCGAGCACAATTCAAAGTGCTGGCTTTAGCCTACAAAACCCTAAACGGTTCCAGCCCAGCTTACCTGTCCAAACATATCTCCATCTTTGAACCATCTCAGTGATTAAGGGAGGTCCTGCTCTCAGTCCAGCCTTCTTCGCAAGTGCGACTGGCAGGGACGAAAGACAGTGCCTTCTCAGTGGTGGCCCCTCAGCTGTGGAATTCCCTCTCTATCGATATTAGATCACCCCCCTCCCTCCTGACCTTTAGGAAAAGGGTAAAAACTTCACTTTGGGATCAGGCTTTTGGAGAATAGTGCAGTGCAATAATAGATTTGGAATATATGCAATGACCATGGAGCGGCTTTGGACTACGATTTCTGGATGGTGTGATTTTAATATTGAAAGTAATGCTGTTAAATGCTTAATATGTATTAATTTTATTTTAAGCGTAATGTTTCGAATGTGTTTTAAGGCATTGAAGCATTGCCTATATGTAAGCCGCCTTGTGTCACCTTTGAGGTAGAGAAAGGCGGGGTTTAAATACAGTAAATAAATAAATAGTGTGTCTCGCCATTGGAAAAAAAGCTTCATTTCTCCCAGTGCGCAAGTCCTGGCTCCTTCCCAGCCTCCAGGGATTCATGCAACCTGTTCTCTTCTTTCCAGGTGGTGGGCTCCATGCCCACGGCTGGAAGTGCTGGGTCCGTCCCTGAAAACCTCAACCTTTTCCCCGAACCTGGCAACAAGTCCGAGGAGGTGGGCAAGAAGCAGCTCTCCAAGGATTCGATCCTCTCCTTGTATGGCTCCCAGGCCCCACAGCTACCTGCACAAGGTACTCAGGGAAGACTGAAAGGGGAATAAGAAAATCCTAATGCTTTTCTTGATTGGCTCACTTGAATAGTTTGCGTCAATGTTTTCTTGTGCGTTGCATTGAGACAATGGCATGACTGGGTACGTTGTGTATTCTCTTTGGATGGTAATTTGTATTTGAGACGATTGTAGGATTGGTGGGAAATGAAATGGAAATATTTCCTCCTTCTTTTCCTATCCAAAGAGCAAGAACTTTGGCACTCCTCCTTGTCTGTGGCTTGAAATGGAGGGCCTTTTAGGTCATGATCAATTCAGTGTATGGTTTTACAGTATTATAAAAACAGCTTTTAAAAAAGTATTATTTCTTCATTTTTCCCCTGGTTGCTTGAGTTCCAGTTAAGTGAGAGTCAAGGGTATTTCGTTTGTAGTTTGTGTTGTTACTGAGAAGTTCAGAATAAAGCCAGAAAAGGGAGGAATTAAAACCGACAGCGAGATGAATAAATCAGTCCATTTGCTTATCTAATTGCAGGCAGTCTCCAAGTTACAAACAAGGTTCTGTAGGTTTCTTCTTAAATTGAATTTGTTTGTAAGTCAGAACAGATACATGTTTAAAGTGAGTCTCCAGCCAAAACCATGTATTTTGTAGCTTTGGATAGCATAGGGAAGAATGAACATCCCTGTGGGGCTGCCTTTGAAAACTGTTCAGAAACTTCAATTAGTGAAACGGGCAGCAGCCAGACTACTTACTGGAGCAAAATACAGGGAGCATACCATCCCCCTGTTATGTCAGCACCAGTTCCAAGCACAATTCAAAGTGCTGGTCTTGACTTATAAAGCCCTGTACGGTTCTGGCTCAGCTTACTTGTCTGAACGTATCTCCCCTTACGTCCCACCTCAAAATTTAGGATCTTCCGGGGAGGCCCTGCTCTTGATCCCACCTTCGTCGCAAATGTGCTTGGTGGGGATGAGGGACAGGGCCTTCTCGGCAGTGGCCCCCCCGCCTGTGGAACTCGCTTCCCAGCACAATTAGGACAACTACTTTCCTCCTTTCCTTTAGAAAAAAGTTGAGGACGTGGCTAATGGGACCAGGCATTGGGATAATGTAAGTAAGCAAGATACTCCACTTTGACAGGAAAAATGAAATGCAAAGATACAAAATGGGGGATGCCTGGCTTGAGAGCAGTACGTGTGAAAAAGATCTTGGAGTCCTCGTGGACAACAAGTTAAACATGAGCCAACAATGTGATGTGGGGGCAAATAAAGCCAATTGGATTTTGGCTCTATCAATAGGAGCATAGTGTCTAGGTCCAGGGAAGTAATGCTACCCCTCTATTCTGCTTTGGTTAGACCACACCTGGAATATTGTGTCCAATTCTGGGCACCACAATTCAAGAGAGATATTGACAAGCTGGAATGTGTCCAGAGGAGGGCGACTAAAATGATCAAGGGTCTGGAGAACAAGCCCTATGACGAGCGGCTTAAGGAGCTGGGCATGTTTAGCCTGAAGAAGAGAAGGCTGAGAGGAGATATGATAGCCATGTATAAATATGTGAGAGGAAGCCACAGGGAGGAGGGAGCAAGCTTGTTTTTTTGCTTCCTTGGAGACTAGGAGAACAATGGCTTCAAACTACAAGAGAGGAGATTCCATCTGAACATGAGGAAGAACTTCCTGACTGTGAGAGCCGTTCAGCAGTGGAACTCTCTGCCCCGGAGTGTGGTGGAGGCTCCTTCTTTGGAAGCTTTTAAACAGAGGCTGGATGGCCATCTGTCCAGGGTGATTTGAATGCAATATTCCTGCTTCTTGGCAGGGGGTTGGACTGGATGGCCCATGAGGTCTCTTCCAACTCTTTGATTCTATGATTCTAATGGGTTGACAATAAAAATGATGACGATGCTATGGAAAATGGACTGCGGACTGGCTTTGGATTAAGTTGATGATTGTAGAACTTGGATTATTTGTACTATTTTAAACTATTTTTAATCTAATTTAATGTTTACTTATTATGTAACTGTTGTTTTATCTGTTGTATACATGGGGCATTGAATTGTTGCTGACTGTAAGCCACCCTGAGTCCCCCTTCGGGGGTAGAGAAGGACGGGGTACAAATATTTGAAATGAAATAAAATGGTGTTCGTTTTGCTGTCTGTGCCCCTCTTCAGAATATTTTGCCTCACTTTCTGTCCCTGTGAGAATTGGATTTTGAAAAAATTGGCTTGTTTTGGAAACAAGGATTAGTGAGAAAGCTTCAGTGGAGATACCTTTACTGAATGATAACACTGTTCTACAAATTTTCAGTTTTTCTCAGTTACGGAAACGAAATGTGCCGTTTCTTAATAAATTTAACATGCTGAATTCAAATATAATAATTAAATGTGTTAATTGGCTCTGGTTTTTATGCAACAGCTATTTCAATTTTCTCCACAATAGGTAATTCGTTAATATTATGATAATGCGCCTAACCTTACTGCATGTATATAAACCGTGAATATTTACTAAATTTTAGTTAAATTATATTGCCAATAGTTTATACATGAGAAATATTTATTTAATTAGTCTATTGTTTATGTTTGTGCAGCAAGAAACTATATTAGTAGGCCTAATGCAGTTGAAAAGTCTGAAAGTTTAAATGTCGCTTAAATCGTGACTTTAGTTTATATCCTGTTTGCTTCTCTTGACTTTTCTTTTGTATTCAAGGAAAGGATTGTCTCTTACAATGCTCCAGCAGTAGTCTGACAGCATTGACGGAGTCCATTGGCCTTGATATCTTTTTTCCATAGTGCTTTATTTACACACGTGCGAGGCATAACTACAGTAAAAAGAACAATGTAAAACGATGCTTAACGATACTGTCTCAGTCTTCAACTGACTGACCCTCACCGTTCAAAAGTCTGGCCTTATATAGGGCTTTCTGGCTTTTGCACACGGCACTAATACTGCGTTATCAAACTTCCTAGAATCTTCCATAGTGTAAGTCGCAACGTGCATTTTTTCAACCATACGTGATCACGTGATTGCTTATACCATAAAAACTAGAGCCAATATACATTTTTAAATGTCATTTTCGTTTTCAGCACCCCGAAATCATAAAAGAACAACTATTTTCAGGCCCGCAACTTTTTCTCCGTTGAACAGTGTAATAGCTCTTCCAGGAGTGTATTTGACTTCCTAGAGCAGTGGTTCTCAACCTGGGGTCCCCAGATGTTTCTGGCCTACAACTCCCAGTTTACCAGCTGTTAGGATTTCTGGGAGTTGAAGGCCAAAAACATCTGGGGACCCCTAGAGGTAGATTTCTGTTACTTCCTGTTGTCTCACCCTCATTTTTAATCATGAGCCGTTTGTAAATTGGATGTTTGTAACTCGGGATTGCATGCACTTGATTTTATTTTGCTTCCACATCCTCCTGACAGTTCTGATGCCCTTCTTGCAATCTCTTGCAGGAGCGGTGTTCATAGCCCCAGCCCAAATGGGATACCCAGCAGCGTACCCTGGCTTCCCAGGAATGGCTCCACCAGGCAGCAACATGATGGGCAACATGATGGCCCCACCGGTTGGCATGATGGCACAGCCTGGAGCAGCCGGCATGGTGGCCCCCATGGGAATGCCCACGGGTTATGGCATGCAGGCGGCGGTCCTTGGGGTACCCAACGGCATGATGGCGGCTCAGCAGGCGGGGTATGTGGCGGGCATGGCCCCCGCCCCCCCAGCCATGTATGGGGTGCAGCCCACCCAGCAGCTCCAGTGGAACCTGGCCCAGGTAAGAGGCAGCATTGGGGCAAGGGCTAGTGAGGTTGGGTGACCGGAAAGGCCATGGGGACCATTCCCCCTCACAATTCCCCTTCCTTTGCAGGGCCACACTGGTAATTTCAAAGATGCGGGCTTGGAGACTTTGCAGACTATACTGTGTTATCATATTCAGTACTGGTTTCTAAACTCTGCTTTTGACATTGTTTCTTAATACCTAATCTTTTTTTAGTGCTGTTTATGACCATTATAATAATTTATCGTATATACTCGAATATAAGCCGGGTTTTTCAGCCCTTTATTTAGGCTGGAAAAGCCCCCCTCCACTTATACTCGTGTCAAGGTATATTTATTGTTAATGTTTATTGCTTTGTTTTATGAGTTCATTTATTTTGCTTTGTTGTTGTTGTTTTGTTGATGTATTTGGGCTCAGCCTCTTGTAAGCCGCACCGAGTCCTTCGGGAGGTGGTAGCGGGGTATAAATAAAGGATTATTATTATTATTATTATTATTATTATTATTATTATTATTACATTTATTATTTTATCCTATTATTGTTGTTGTTATTACATTTATTATTTTACTCTATTATTATTACATTTATTGTTTTACTATATTTATTATTACATTTATTATTTTACTCTATCATTATTATTTTGATTACCGTATATTCCGGCATATAAGACGACTGGGCGTATAAGACGACCCCCCCAACTTTTCCAGTTAAAATATAGAGTTTGGTATATACTCGCCGTATAAGACCACCCCTCTTCCATTGCACACCAAATAAAAATAAAAAATAAAAACATCAGATTTGATTTCAAATCCAAGACTATCAAAGCAGTATCCAGCTCTTCGGCTTAGAAATGGAGATGAGCGCCAACCCCCAGAGCCGGACACGACTGGACTTAACGTCAGGAGAAAACCTTTACCTCACCTGTAAACTCCTGTATGTTTATTATTTATTTAACAGTTGTGGGTCCATGGAGCGTAATAAAGTTCTATAAATTTTTACCTTACCTTACCTAGAGTGAGACCAGGCCGGGTCCAATGTCCTTTCCACAACAACAACAACAATAATGGAAATCTAGAATTGGAAGGGACTCCAATGGCCATCCAGTCTAACCCTAATTCTGCCAGACAGGAACACATGTCCAAGCCCTCCCGACAGATGGCCATCCTGTTCTACTTAATAATAGCAATAGCAACAATAATAGCAATAACAACAACAATAATAATAGAAGGGACCTCAATGACCATTCAGTCCAACCCCATTCCTGCCAGGCAGGAAGACACAATGCAAGCCTTCCTAACAGGTGGCCATACAACTCTGCTTAACAATAACAACAACAACAGAACGCTAGAGTTGGGACTCCAATGGCCATCCATTCCAACCCACTCACTCCTGCCAGGCAGGAAGACACAATGCAAGCCTCCCCAACAGGTGGCCATCCAGTTCTAGTTGCCATATATACTCGAGTATAAGCTGACCCGAATATAAGCTGAGGCACTTAATTTTACGACCAAAAACTGGGAAAATTTATTGACTTGAGTATAAGCCAGGGGAGGGAAATGCAGCAGCTAGTGGTAAGCTGAGGGGACAGAAGTTGTCATAAAGCCATCTTGTGCAGCTTCCAAAACCCAACACGTGAGAACATTTTGCACTGCAGCCAGATATTTCCAAGGTCATGCCCAAAGGGTTTGATGAATATACCCTTTTTGAGATAGATCTAAATCAGGCATGGGCAAACTGTAGCCCTCCAGGTGTTTTGGACTTCAACTCCCACAATTCCTAACAGTATTTGAGAACACAGAAATGCTGGACCACTCTCACAACCACCATGTCAGACTACACAGAGAAGCCATTGCAATCCACAAGAAGCATGTGGACAATTTCAACAGAAAGGAGGAAACCATGAAAATGAACAAAATCTGGCTGCCAGTATTTAAAAAAAACTTCTCTAAAATCAGGACAGTAAATAAAAAACAACACTCAAAAGCAGGGGAAATCCAGACAATAAAAAATCAGGACCAACTAACACCTCCCAACAAAGGATTCCCCAGGCAGGAAGCAGCCAGGCTTTGAAGCTGCAAGGCCATTCAATGCTAATCAAGGTAGCCAATGGCAACATTCCCACTTGCCTCAAGCAGACAAGAGTTCTTTCTCCCACCCTGGACTTTCCACAGATATATAAACCCCACTTGCCATGTTTCCAACAGACCTCACAACCTCCAAGGATGCCTGGCATAGATCTGGGCAAAACATCAGGAGAGGACACTTCTGGAACATGGCTATACAGTCTGGAAAACTCACAGCAACCCAGCCACTAGCTGTTAGGAATTGTGAGAGTGGAAATTCAAAACAATCTGATAGAAAACTGGGACTTGTAGTTTGGTATGGTACTGGCTCTCTTAAACAGGGAAGGCTAAGGACCTTGTAAAACTACAACTCCTGTGATTCCATGGCACTGAATCTGTGGCAGTTATTTGGGGGGGGGATTCCCCTTTAAGAATAGATGGCCCTTGCACTGGGACTTCCCCTTTAAGGCTGCCTCGTTCTTGGCTGCAGAAACAAAACCAAACGGGGGAAAGAGACCTTTTTCTTCCTCCTTCTGCAGGCTATTTAAAACTTTTAAAACTTAGGAGCGGCTGTTCTTTCAGAGGGAGCTGAGCACAGAGACAGGAAAGAAACCCCAAAGAGGGGAGAAAGAAGAAGTTTCTGCAGCAGGACTTTCTCGGAGGTGCCTTTGTTTTGACTCTCCTTGAGTAGCACTGTTTGAGGGAGGAGAGGAGAGGGAGAAAGAGGCTGGGAATGGGAGGCTTGGGGGAAGCCTCTTCTGCCCCTTTTTCCTGCAGGAGGAGGAGGGGGAGGAGGAGGAGCGGCAGCTGCTGCGCTGCTTGGGGATGGCGAGGGGGGAGGAGGAGGAGGATCGGCAGGTCTGCCGGGAGGGCTGGCCAGCTGAGCTGCGAGACCAGCAGGCTCCCTTTGGCCTCTCATGGCTGCTCGCGTCCCTCTCTCTCGGCATCCTCAAGTGGTGGAACTTATAGCCGGCACACAAGACGACCCCCCCACTTTTAAGATGACTTTCTTGGCTTAGAAAGTCGTCTAATATGCCGATTTTTACGGTACATTTATTATTTTACTCTATTATTATTATTGGAAAACTACGTAAGCACATTTATATTGAAGAAGGTTAGAATAATGGTTTAATCAGAGTTGGACAACCTTACTTTGAAACTTAACAGTAGCTGCTGCATTTCCCACCCTTGACTTATACTCGAATCAATACGTTTTCCCAGTTTTTTGTGGTAAAATTAGGTGCCTCGGCTTATATTTGGGGTGGCTTATGCTTGAATATATACGGTGTGTGTGTATGTGTGTGTGTATAACATCGTATGATAGTTGCACTTTTTATAGGGGGTGCAACTATTATGCGATGAAAACAACTTTAATTCTGTGTCTGTTTTTTAAAAACCTGCCTTACTTCCGAGAAGGTGGTGGAGGAGGAGGGAGAATTCAGCCTAGGACAGACAGTTCCCTTTCTGTTTAATTGGGTTTTTTTATATTGCCTTGCCTAGGAGGAAGGCGGGAAGATCCTCCCTCTCTTTTCTGAAGGCAAGGAAGTTTACAAAACCTGAAATTGAGCTGTTTGAAGAAAGGAAGGTTCAAGTTATTGGCGTGGTGGGGGGGAGGGGGGAGTCAGCCCCAAAGGATTCTGCAGCTATTATCCGAGGAGCACAAAAAATCCAATTTTGCCACCCAAAAATGGGGGTGTGGTGATTATGTGGTGGCGACTATTATGCGATGAAATACAGTATATCTACCTGATACACTCTAAAAGGGAGCCCCCGGTGGTGCGGCGGATTAAACTGCTGAGCTACTGAATTTGTTGGCCGAAAGGTTGCAGGCTTGAATTCAGGGAACAGGGTGAGCTCCCACTGTTTGCCCCAGCTTCTGCCAACCTAGCAATTTGAAAACATGCAATTGTGAGTAGATCAATAGGTACGGCTTCTTTGCAGAACTGCCCTCAATTTATCCATGCATCATATCAAAATCCATAATTATGGCCGCAGGATCTGCCATAAGCTTATACATTATATACAATACATTTATCTACCACTGGCTGGACCATTGCCATCATATCAGATGGACTGATTGTAGGACATGGAAGTTCAGATTATTCTTCTAAGCATTGCATTGAGAACCCTAGTGCTCTGAGGAATAGACGAAATCAATGAACTCATGGCTAAGTTTCTTTGGAAGAGGATCCTGAATGTGTTGGGAATCAGATCTGTTAGGCTAAAAAATAACCCTCACTTGGGGTGATTCCACCATAAATATAGCAGAGGTGCAGTGGGTTAAAGCGCCCAGCTGCTGAACTTGTTGATCGAAAGGTCGCAGGTTCGATTCCGGGGAGCAGCGTGAGCTTCCGCTGACAGCTCCAGCTTCTGCCAACCTAGCAGTTTGAAAACATGCAAATGTGAGTAGACCAATAGGTCGCAGGTTCGATTCCAGGGAGCGGCGTGAGCTTCCGCTGACAGCCCCAGCTTCTGCCAACCTAGCAGTTCGAAAACATGCAAATGTGAGTAGATCAATAGGTCGCAGGTTCGATTCCAGGGAGCGGCATGAGGTTCCGCTGACAGCCCCAGCTTCTGCCAACCTAGCAGTTCGAAAACATGCAAATGTGAGTAGATCAATAGGTACCGCTCCAACGGGAAGGTAATGTTGCTTCATTCAATCATGCCGGCCACATGACCTTGGAGGTGTCTATGGACAATGCCGGCTCTTCGGCTTAGAAATGGAGATGAGCACCACACCCCAGAGTCAGACACGACTGGACTTCATGTCAGGGGAAAACCTTTACCTACTAGAAGTAAACTTCATAATCAGCAGAAACTTACGTGTTGCGAGCCAGGATAAACTTCCATTCAACGAGATGGAACAGGATTTCAGAAACTGAACTTTAGGTTCAAATTATTTATTCAAGAAAATAAATCGGTTTTAGATAGAAGGGGTCTTGGAGCTAACTAGCTTGCTAAAACTCATATTATAAGGAAGATAAAAGGATAAAAAGTCAAAATATCCATGCAGTTACATTTTGCCTGGAAAAAGACAAAATGCGCCCTCACTGGAAAGGAGACAAAGGCAGAGAGGGAGCCAACAATGGAGAATTATCACATGGCCAAACCCAGGGCAATAAAAATACCCTTAAATAGGAAGTTACCTCATACCTCACAGAGCTTCCATTTCTACATCTCCAATGGGGTGGGGGGGAGGAGATAGTGGCAAGCGAAACAAATAAGACATGCCCCTTCTGGGATACACATACATAGGAATGTGGGGGGAGGAATCCCTCACTCTAATACTATCTCTAGCCTATATACTCATTGAGGACTGGAAACTTGATGACACAAGAGACTTGTGCAGTCCAGGGATGAAACCCAATAGAATGCAAGTCCCAGGATTCCATAGGAAGTAGCCATGACAGTTACAGAGGAATCCTAATGCTCTCATTGAGCAGTGTCTGGGGGCCTGCACAATTCCCATCTTTGTTATAACCTACTTTGTTTGGAGAACACAATCCTGACTGTCATCTTGCCTTTCCCTTCCTCCTTAGATGACCCAACAGATGGCGGGGATGAACTTCTACGGCACAAATGGGATGATGGGATACGGACAGTCGATGGGCCGAGGAGGGACCCAAGGCACCAACCAAACCCTCAGCTCCCAGGTGTGGAAATAACCCACCTGGATTTGGACCATTTCCTCCCTTTCATTTCGGCTTTGGTTTTCCTGTTGGGTTTGTTTTTTGTTTCCGTATTAAAGTTGCTTCCTGAGGCTCTTGTGCGTTTCTCCTTCCGGTGCTGGACTTTCCTTGAGTGTCACAGAGACCGCTGGGCCACTTTCTGCCCAACATCCAAGGCACTGATGAAGACTAAACCTTTGCTGTCTTGCTAAAATCTGGGCAGTTTTTTGAGGGGACACGATGTGAGAATGGTTCTTTCCTGTGAGATTTCAACCCAAAGTCCACTTGCCGCTGGTCTTTGGGAAAGGCAGCCATGACAGTTGACTCTGGCTTCATTCACAACTTTGTAGCTTCACCTTAAAGGCATTCTAAGCTTTTTCTTTCTAAAAAGATTGAACAAAAACTATTGAAAACATATCATCTCTTTGCTGGTTGTAGTGGGAGCTTATTTTTTCCAGATTCTGTTTCTTCCATCACATTCGTCCTGCTTTCCTTCTTTTTTTCTTAATACATTCCGTTTTTTTCTCCTCTTGAGTTTTTCAAGAAACGATTCCACCTTTTGTGAACTTGAAGTCATCTTTCCTTTGAGTGAGTGGGACTCCCACAAGGCCCTCGGACACAAAAATCCTTCCCTTTATCTTTTCACGTTTTGGTGACCAAGGGCCGAGATCCTGTGGGCAAGTCTCTCCTTGCACTTTTTTTTTTGCACTTTTTGTTTTGTGTGTCATTGCGCACGGACAGATACGTTCTGGCCAGTATGAACACTGTACTGGTAGACTGGGTCAGCCTGGTCTTCCTTTGTCCCTCATCTGCTTCAGAAAGAAAGAAAGAGAAACCCACCTGCCGTGTTTTGGAAAACATCTCTCCGCAAAAGCTGGGCGCTCTACTGTCTCAATTGACCTTGTGTATATGTACATTCCTTAATAAAAAATATTGCGGTGCAACGTTACCTTGCTTCTTCTGATGTTTCTAAACAATATTACCCTATTGACTTGAGTCTTCCCTTCTTTCTCTCTCCCCTCTACTCATACGTTTTCCCCTTTCCTTTCCTCCCCCTTTTTTTCTTCGAGTCCCTCTCTTACTTTCTTTGCCTTCTTTTCTTCCTTCCTTCCTTCCCTCATAGCTTCCAATCCGCTTCACTCACTTTCTTTCCTAGTGACCCCCCCCCCCCATGGCGCAATGGATTAAACCCTTCTTTGTGCAGGTTCGAATTTGGGGAGAATGGCTTGAGCTCCCTCTGTCAGCTCCAGCTCCCCATGCAGGGTCATGAGAGAAGTATCCCACAGGATGGTAAGAGATGGGCCAAAACTAACAAAATGAAGTTCAACAGGGACAAATGCAAGATACTCCACTTAGGCAGGAAAAACGAAATGCAAAGATACAGAATGGGGGACAATGCCTGGCTCGAGAGCAGTACGTGTGAAAAAGATCTTGGAGTCCTCGTGGACAACAAGTTAAACATGAGCCAACAATGTGATGTGGCGGCAAAAAAAGCCAATGTGATTTTGGCCTGCATCAATAGGAGCATAGTGTCTAGGTCCAGGGAAGTCATGCTACCCCTCTATTCCGCTTTGGTTAGACCACACCTGGAATATTGTGTCCAATTCTGGGCACCACAATTCAAGAGAGATATTGACAAGCTGGAATGTGTCCCGAGGAGGGCGACTAAAATGATCAAGGGTCTGGAGAACAAGCCCTATGAGGAGCGGCTTAAGGAGCTGGGCATGTTTAGCCTGAAGAAGAGAAGGCTGAGAGGAGACATGATAGCCATGTATAAATATGTGAGAGGAAGCCACAGGGAGGAGGGAGCAAGCTTGTTTTCTGCTTCCCTGGAGACCAGGACACGGAACAATGGCTTCAAACTACAAGAGAGGAGATTCCATCTGAACATGAAAGAACTTCCTGACTGTGAGAGCCGTTCAGCAGTGGAACTCTCTGCCCCGGAGTGTGGTGGAGGCTCCTTCTTTGGAAGGTTTTAAACAGAGGCTGGATGGCCATCTGTCAGGGGTGATTTGAATGCAATATTCCTGCTTGGCAGGGGGTTGGACTGGATGGCCCATGAGGTCTCTTCCAACTCTTTGATTCTATGATTCTATGACATCAAACATCCGAGCGTCCCCTGGGCAACGTCATTGCAGACAGCCAATTCTCTCACACCAGAGGCGACTTGCAATTTCTCAAGTTGCTCCTGACATAAAAATTTTTTTTATAAAAACATGGGAAAAGTTTATGAGACTTTAAAAAACTCTGTTTTTGTGGGATATCCTGCAGCACATTTTGTTCTAGTTTTTCAATGAATATCTCATTGAGTCTAGTTGCTCCAGACATGGAAAAAAAATCACAGAGGGCCACTCCACCTAGCAACAGCCAACCCTTTCCCTGTCCTCAGCGAATCTGCTTTGTATCTTTTCTTTCCCTCTGCTCTGGTCCCCAAAAGGGGTTGTTTTTTAGAGTCCAAGCCCCTCAATTGTTTTAAGCAGCGAGATTGTGGCGGAGCTGGCTGAGTGTCAGCTGCATTAAGATCACTCTGACCAAAAGGTCATGAGTTTGAAGCCAGCCCAAGTTGGAGTGGGTTATTATTTATTTATTAATTTCGTATACTTCTACCCCGCCCTTCTCAACCCCCGAGGGGGGACTCAGGGCGGCTTACAAAATGGCACAATTCGATGCCTACACAATAATACAATAAACGTATAAAAACAGTTAAACGGTTAAACAATTAAAACAACAATATATATCACAATTGATAGCCAATCTGAAGCACAGCGTTCGCCAACTTAGTTCCACATTGTCTATTCCTATCCGTCATCGCAGTCCTTTATTTATCTGCCAGATTGCCCAAACGCCTGGTCCGAAAGACAACCCGAAAGACAGTTGCATCTGTCAAGTAGGAAAATTAGGTACCACCTTAAAAGTGTGGGGAGGCTAAATTAACTGATTTATGAGGCCATAAAGAAGACTCCAGCAAAGCATTCCAGCGGGAAGCATGCGGGGAATGCGGATGTGTTTCATCAGCGTTGCAGATGGACGATGAAAGCGACAGCTCCCCTGGCGGCCAGAAAAAGTTAAATAGCCTCTGTGTATGTCTGTATGTCAAAAATTGGCATTGCATGTTTGCCATATATGTGTACACTGTAATCCGCCCTGAGTCCCCTGCGGGGTGAGAAGGGTGGAATATAAAAACTGTAAATAGATAGATAGATAGATAGATAGATAGATAGATAGATAGATAGATAGATAGATAGATAGATAGAGATAGATAAGTTGGACCTTGAAAGGTCTGTATGCCAAGCTTGGTCCAGATCTATCACGTTACGGAGGAGCCTTTGGGGTACAAACCAGCATACGTACCAACCTTAAGTTACATATAAAGATCAATGCATGTGTAAGGAGACCCCAGTGGTGCAATGGGTTAAACCCTTGCGCCAGCAGGATTGGCTTGGTGTCTGCAGGACTGAAGATCAACAGGTCAGCGGTTTGAAGCTGGGGAGCGGGGTGAGCTGCTGTCTTGTCAACTCCAGCTTCTCATGCTGGGACATGAGAGAAGCCTCCCACAGGATGGTGAAATATTTGGGTGTCCGCTGGGCAACATCCTTGCAGGCGGCCAATTCTCTCACACCAGAAGCAACTTGGAGTTTCTCAAGTCGCTCCTGACACCAAAATAAATAAATAAATAAAAACGCACGTGTAAGACATAAAACAAGATTCCCAGTTGGCCAAACAGAAAAGTCAAACTGAAAGCAAGATGCAGTTTTCAAAACTGACTTTAATTGTCTTGAGTTGCTGCCCAAATACTGTACATGCAGTTAACAAGCCAAATGGAGAAAACATTGAACTTTTCTTTTTTTCCCCCCCTTTGTGTTTTTTGAAAATCCGTCTTATCTCATTTGGAAAGAGGGGGGGAAAGTCAAGAATATGTTACAAAATTGAGCGTGCACCCTTCCAAAGCTGTCAGTCCTGCTGCATATAAACCCACAGGAAAAAAATACAAGAGTTTTAACATTTAGGAAAGACCACGTCACATAGAAAACGTTACAGAGCACAGGTATAAAATTGCCGTTTGTGTGTGTGTGTGTTTTATCTTGGTCCATTTGTAAGCGTTTTCTCCGCTGCTCCTTGCAAGCCCATACCCATCTGCTTGTGCTCAATGTGGCTCAATGAGAGCAGAAAAATCTTAATTTCGACCCCTTTCCTAAATGTACACGGCTTTTCCGTGTCTTCAAATGGTATCCCAAAGCCATGTCACAATTGTAATGTTAGCCAAACATTAAATCAATTTAAAAGGAGGTTGAAAATGGACTTCCAAAGCTGATTTAGAAACTTTGTGCTATTGTTTCGGGCCGAGATTGTGTTCTTGGACTCCTTAACATTTCTACATTTCCACTCTGTCGCAGTTATTTAAAACTGTGGATATTATCCAATGTTTTCTAATGCAAATCAATGGCAGTGAACCATGTTTCCAAATGAGCCTTGAAGCCTTTTTCTATCCATTTCACTGTTGGGTTTGTTTTTGTCAAAACGTTTTAAGGAATGCATGGATAGTTGCCATGAGCACTATATTCTTTCAATAGAAAACCTGGGTGGAAATAACCCAAATCCACAAAAAAATAACTCTTAGGTCTAATACTCCTCTAAGCCAGACAGACTTTAGGGTGCATCTGCACTGCAGGATTAATGCAGTTTGACACTGCTTTAACTGCAGTGGTTCAATGCTATGGAATCCTGGGAGTTGTAGTTTGGGGAGGCACCAGCAGAGAAAGCCAAAGACCTTGTAAAACTACAACTTCACCACTTTGAGTCCCTTTCAGAAGTCAATAGCATGATAGCATTAAGTCATGGCAGGTAAAGTGATGTCAAACTGCATCCATTCTACAGTGTAGATGTGTCCTTAGAGGTAGAGTTGCCTCCAGTTTCCAAAGACAGAATTTTCCAAAATTATAACGGTGATTGGGGTATCATTACCATTAGATGAAGAGGGGCACTGCCCCTGGTTTCTGCTCAGTGAGAGCCACTGTTTGGCCCTTGTCCCATACCAAGTCCTGCCTTGATAGACAAGACAGTGGCAGAGACAGGACCCTTGGAACTCCCTGCCTCTTGAGTCCTCTGTCAAGACACAAGGCCTCCAACCGTGAATCATGTACTCCTTTGTTGTTAGGGCTGCCAGGCTGGAGAAGGCCCCCCAATACCTTTGAGAGGGAGCTTCCTGCAAGTGTAGCCAGGTAGCAAGCGGCACTTGCTGAAATGCAACCCCATGAAAGGGACAGGAGTCCCTTGCAGTTTTTTTAACTGGCAACCCTCACTTTTGAGATGATGTGGGCAGGGAAGAACAATGGAGGGGAAAGTGCAGGATTTTCCATTAATGACCAACCATTAACAAAAGGATAAGATAAAGCAGCCCTTTTCTTTTTGAAAGAAGAAGAAAGATGACAAAGAGGAGAAGGAGAAGAAAAAAGAAGGAGGAAAGGAAGAAGGAGTGGGAAGAAGGAGACGAAATGGAAGGAGAGGAGGGAGAAGCAGGAAAGGTGGGAGTAGAGGAAGAAAAGACGGGGGAAGAAGCAGCAGCAGAATAGGAAGAAGGAAAAGAAGCAGAAGAGGAAGAGGAGGAGGAAGAAGACGAGGAGGAGGAGGAGGAATGGGAGAAGAGGAAGAGGAGGGGGGAAGAAGAAAAAGGAGACAAAATCGAAGAAGAAGGAGAAGCAGGGAAGGTGAGAGTAGAAGAAGAAAAGAAGGGAGAAGAAGAAGTAGCAGCAGAAGAGGAAGAAGGAAAAGAAGCAAAAGAGGAGAAGGAAGATAAGGCAGAAGGAGGAGGAGGAACAGGAGAAGAGAAAGAAGGAAAGAAAAAAAGAAAAAGAAGACGAAATGGAAGAGGAGAAGCAAGAAAGGTGAAAGTAGAAGAAAAGAAGGGAGGAGGAGAAAGCAGCAGAAGAGGAAGAAGGAAAAGAAGAGGAA